TGGGAGATGCCACTGACTAGGAATTATTTTGTTATTTCAGTGAAGAGCACTGAAAAATATTGTGAGAAAATGGAGGGTTAAAGCTTAATGATTTTGCAGGCAGCCACATGAATAAAAATGCAATTCAACTTTTCATTTTTTTATTTATTAAATTGCTGGAGCCAGCAGCTATTTTCCAGTATTATGATTTGAAATTTTAGTTTCTTCAGGACTCTCATGTCTTCCACCAATTCTTGACCTGCAGAACTCTAGCAATTTATCAACATGAATTCTTATCCCTCAGCTGTTACACAGGATGCATTTAGAAGAGACTTGTGTTCCCTGCCCTGGTGATGATTTCCACAACAGAAAACAAAAATGAGTTTTCTCTCTCAATTCAAAATTACTTTGTGGAACTCAACCAGTCTATGTTCTGCAAGCTAAATTACAAACAAGTTCAAAATGAATACTTCCATGAATTTAAGTACAATTAAACAAGATAAAACTTCCAACAAAGAAAATCCCTAACAAGTTGATTACTAAAAGTTGAGAAAGTATACCAGGGAAAGGATATGTACTGTCTTCTTTTACTGTCCTTTATCATCTATTACTAGAGACATTACATGGAGCTAATACGACCTCTATTGTAAACAATTACCACATCCTTATGTTCTGGAAAAATAAATAAACTTTTTTCCCCAGCTAATAATAATAATAATAATAATAATAATAATAATAATAATTAGTCCATGGAAGAATCTCCTAAAGTACACTAAAGGTGTGCAGCACAAGAGTAAGTATATTATGTGAAATCACTGAAGCAAGAGGCAGCAGTAAAGTAGGCACACAAGGCAAGGCAACTGCAGTAAGTTGTTTCAAAGCCTCAAACAAATTGGATCATACTGACTTCACAATGCTCAGGATCCAAACAGTAATAAATGATACCAAATGTAGCATTTAGTAGTGCAAGATAGGATCTGTATTTCCTCCAGAAAAAAAATAGAAAATAGTTCCTACACATGTGAAAGACTCTAAGATGAGGGGGAAAAAAAATCAGATAAAGCACTGTCATTTTAAAGGCAGCATAATCAGTCACTGAAAAATATAGAGATGTGTGAGAGTCCTTCTTTCTCAGAGGACTTTACAGGTCAAAACTTTTGTTGGGAGTTGACACAGCTGTGGTCCAAGGGAACTGAAGAACTCACACCTCATGGCTCTGTCCCCACTGTAGAAGCCAGTTGAAATCACCATGGTGCAGCATGTTTTATGCATTATTGTTTCTGCTCTCATTAAGATGATCAAAAACAACTCCCACAGAAAAAAGTCTGGTTCCTATGCCTCTACTCAGTAGCTTATGCACAGATACACACAAACTGATAACTTAGCCCTTCATCTCAGGCTTTTTGTACTTTGATCTCCAGGGAGTCTAAGTTCAGACTCTGCAGGTAATCATCCAGAAAGTGAAAATAGAGCTTTCCAGACCAGAGCCTGAGTCCATTTCCCCAGCTTCTACAGTGAACTACTAAAGCTGATCAACAATATTTTGATAAAAATGGTGATTCAAGTGAACAAAAAAATATTCCTTGAGAACATGTTTACTCTTCTAAAACCCTCCTCAGAAGCCAGGCAGGCAGGCACTCCCTGTTGCCCGACAAGCTGGCTAGCCCAGCTGGCTTCTTTCCAGCTTGCCTACCAGCTTGCCTGGGCAGCAGGCCAGCATGTCAGGCAGCCCTGCCAGGGAAACAACCACATTTGCAAAAAAACTTTAACAAATTGTTCTGTTTCACTTGAAGTTCCACCATGTGGACATTCTGTTCCAGCATGGGATGAAACAAAATGTCAACAACTTGCAATTTTCCACAAAACAGAAATACCCTCTTCTGATCAATTTTAGTCACAATCTGTGTGTGCTGTTATTATTGCCTCTCCACAAAAATAACTGTGTCTTCAGTGTCTGTTTCAATTCTACTCCAGAAGCATGGACTTAAAGAGTACTCAAGAATCAGTCCCACGTTGATTCAAGTAATAAATTCTGAGTCTCTGAGAAAAGAGTTCAGTATTTTAAGACTGCTACTGTTAAACACTTGCCTTGTGCAAGACTTTTATAAAAATAGCTCTTCAGTCAGCTACTAGGTCAATTCTGTTGCTTACAGTACTAATTTCACAACATTACAGACTGTAACCAGAGGGATCTTATAGAAGGACTTTGTTTGTCATCATGCATATGGTGTTATTCTACTGGTCTATTCCCTGGAGAAATAACAAAGCAGATGGATTTCTAATTATCACTATACCAATCTAATGAGTGTCCAGTAATGTTCACCACTATTTATAAAACAACCTCCTCCAGCTTAAGAGATCTGGTTGCCTTTTCATCTTTCTATACATTCTAACTGTATTAGAAATGTAGTTGCAAATAACACTACTGCTCTAATTACAGGATAGAGTAGAAGTTAAATGCATTGCCTCATGCCAACACATTTTGGGTCTTGATAAGGATGAAATCAAAGTTCAGTAATTCATTCTCACAGGCTCCTAATTTATTTCATAATGCTGTATCAGCAGTTATAGCCTCCTGCCCACTCCCACAACATCTAGTTTAAGATCAAAGGCGATTCAACTGTCACTTTGCTCAGATGATTTTTTTTTCTGTAGGAAAACTGCATTCTACATGTGTCCTTCATTCATACAAAATCAGCAAATTATGGCAGGAGAACTGGACAGAAATGGAAACCAATGATTAATGTTAATTTTTTTAAGCAGATCAAAGTAAATCATCCTTGTACATTTATCTATGAGTTTTCAGCCTGTTTTCATTAATAAAAAAGGCAACAAATACAAAGTTTTTTAAAAAAACCCATTGATCTCTTATCAATTTTATGCCTGTGTTGCCCTTAGCACATAATTTTGAAGAGACCAAAGACAAACACAGAGTTACTACTTTCAACTACAAAGCCTTTCCAAGAGACATCAATATGTACAGCTTCAGTTTCTTACTCAGAAAAAAAAAAATATTGACGTTCACCCATACAGATTTTTAATCTGATTAATCCAGCCATTTGTCTAAGGATGGCATCTTGTTTAAAGCACAAAACTGTCATTCTTAAATAACTGCTTTTAATTATTTTAAGCCAAATAATTTTTTGTCCCAAAGAACAGTAACAGCATTTAATTATGTTCTACTTCCCCTTTCTTTAATTCAGCCTCTCTTCAAAACAGTACAAGACATTTCTATGTTCCTCTGACATAAATTCCTGTATGCACTAAATGCATTCTAATTTTTTAAAATCTTCCATTAACTAATGGACACATTAAGGAAAGAAAATAGTGAATCCATCAAACAACAAAAATAGACTATGAATTATTAATCCCGGACTGAATAATTTTTAGGCCAAGAGTCATTACTCATCTTTTTCAATGAAATAGTTTAAATAGAAATGTTCTTTTACTACAATTTTGATAACACCTTACATCTTTACTACATAGCTACTGTGTTATCTACTTAAGCCATCAGTTTTCCAGCATTATTTCTTGCATTAATTTCAGCACTTTAGGTCTTTTAGTTTTCAGGAAGTAGGTGGAGGAACCTGCAGATTGAAAGGGCAGATTTAGAACAAATCAATAAAATAAATGGTTACCAATTGTCAGGACTGGATGTTATTCCCCAGAGTTTGTAAGGAATTTTAAAAAGAATTGTGAAATCATTAACTGTGACATGCAGAGTGCTATTTAAATCATCTACAGGATTAATAAGGTGGAAAACACTTAAGAGTGGCATGAATTTACAAAAAAAAAAGTTGCAAGGAATGCAGAAAATTGAAGTACAGAAATCTGATCTCTGCATAGGTAGAACTGTAGGATTAAGTAAAGCACAGAATTACTAAATACATATGATAAAAAAGGACAGCGTATATGAATTGGAGGAGACAAGCAATGCCCAACCTCTCTCTAAATATATTTTTAAGGAGCTGTCAGGAAAGTGAATAAAGGAGATACTGTTAACAATGCATTTCAATTCTACAAACCTTTCCATAAGGTTTATCATCTAAACTATCTTGGGATATGAGAGAAGGCTATTTGATGAAATCTGAAAGGCAGAAAAAAGACTGCTTTCACAATAGAGAGCCATAATTACTAAAGGTTACCTTTGCTGGAACCTGTGTCATTCAATATATATTCATAATCGATCTCAAATAGCAGAATGGTAAAGAGGTTTTGGATTATTTTAAATTTAAACCAACTGCAGAGATTTGGAGAAAAAAATCTTACCCTGTATAACTTGGGATAAAGAGGCACATGAAGTTCAGTGTCTGTATATGTAGAATAATATACATGGGGAAAAGATGGCCTAATTATGAATAATTGGGGGCCCTAAATTAACTCCTCCTGCCCAGAAGAGAGTAATTTTGAATACCTGCACAAAACACATTCTTAAATAGACAAAGGATTAAAAGAGTAGAAAACAAAACACTACAATCTGTCTTAATCCCAGTCTGCCTGTCCATCAAAATGTATTAAATACATTGATGTAAATACTAGGTGTGTTTGTAAAGGCCAAGGCTGCCAGAAAGTAAGGGAGATGTATGTTACTCTATCTGTTTCATTCTTGCATTTTTTCAGTGTCTGCTACTGGCTACTATCAGGGTAGGTACACGGCTAGTTGAACTGAAAGTACTATCTTATGATAAAGAGGTATTTAGAAATGACAGGCTTGATTTGGTTTCTCTAATTATTCCTCTCCTCCCCACCTCAAACTCTGCCACAGTTATTGCATGCTAATTTCTTTTTCAGATAGAATTTATTTCTGCATGTTTATGCTTGCACAAGTGCTATGAGCTGAGAAGCAGACCAAGCCTTTGTACTCATACTCTTGTATTAAATGAGCTATTCAGTGAACATATTGAGATCTAGATCCTTCAGGAGATATCTTGTGGCCAGCCATTGTCACTGAGAGAAATACCAGAAAGAAATCAAAATATTTTCCATACTGGCTCACCCGTTTTCTATCCCATTCTGTTTAGAAACCCTCAGTCAGCACCTGGAATACCTTGGGCTCTGTGGAGATAACACAGAGGCTGAAGATCAGATCCTTGAAAGTCTAAATGGGATTCTCCTGGCTCTTACTGAAGATAGCTAAGTATCACTCCAGATCACTATTTAACCATTTGCACAATCCAGAAGCATTCACTGGAGGTTTTTATCTATTGTGTAATCTGTATTAGGCAAGAAGTGATTGCTGCTGGAACTACAGCTGTCCTCAGCCTGTTTTGATGTTTTCTTTTCTCTTTCTGTACTTGCAAATCCACCTGTGACCAGATAAAGCTACTGGTCAATAAAACACCTGACCCCACCGAGAAATTCCAAATTTAATATTCTATTTACTACAAACACCTAGGTTTAAATTGGGGTGACCTCATCAGGTCAGGAATTTTAAGAAGTAGTTCCTAGTCTCCTTATAAGAAAGTCTTTCAGGTCTCCGCACATTCTCCTGAAATTACATAAACCTGTATTTATTTGAATCTCCTGGCAGATGGTGATTAGCCATACTTTTGACAAAAAAAAAAAAAAAAAAAAAAAAAAAAGGCTAGGGGAATTGATGGTTCTAATTGCTAGTTTAATAAAAGATGTTATGCCTACCTACAACATTAATTGCTAGGCCACACCTCAGGAATAGAATCTTAATCCCTGACTTCCCAGGCCTTATGCAAGCATCTTTTTAAAGTCGGAGAAGATGAAATTGCTTTCCTCTTTGCTTTGCCACTTGTGCTTCAAATTCAGCATATAGCAGAATAATCAGCTGTAACTACATTTGCTGCAATTCAAGCAGATGACTGTTCCCATATACTTAGACTGAGAAAGCCTTTAAGGACCTTGTTAAATCAGAGCCTTGGATCCTACAGATAATCCACTCAGAACTCTAAGGAAAGAAAGCAACATGTAAATAAAACAGTTGCAAATCTATTGCAGGTATTGTTAACACCCTTATCATTACAGAGCAGAGATCCTTCAGCCTACTCAGAGAGAGTGGGATCTTCATAACTTTGGCAAAAATCCTGAAGGGCAATACACGATGTGCAGTGAAAGCAGCCCAGGTGCTTTCAGAGATAGCCAAGAATGGTATGTTGTACTAAAGTGTTACTACAAGGCATATTACAGCACATTAGCTGTATGTTTCCATTCTTGAGTTTTGTTTCATAGATACCAGCTATTAGTCTTAAAATTGCAATTGATTTATTTTGACATGGCAAAAAACCTACAAATCCCTCTCCTTTACCTACGCAGAGGAAATGAAAAAAACGTGTATTGAAGCAGATTTGGTTCTAGCTTTGATACCTCTGCTGGAGAGCACAGACCAAGAAATGTTGCTTCATGCTGGGAGGGCTATTGGCCGTATCTGTTATGATAATCGTAAGTATCTTTTCCCTAGCAGTAAGGCATTATTTTATAAAGGCATTGTAACCTGTAACTCATAATAATTTTATGACACCTGAGCACACAATGCACTTCGACCTCCAATTAGATATATACAATTCACCCAGCTCACAGACTGTAGGTTGAATGCATCCCAAACACCTCACAAACTCTCGATTTCCCCCTGTATTTTTGACTTCAAGGTGACACATCTTTGTCAGAACTGCTCTGCAACTACAAGAGTCTCACATATAACATAGCATAATACATATCTTAATTTTCTAGAAATGCTTTGGGCCCAAATCCTGAATAGCTTTGTCTTCTTTCAGAGTAATACCAGTGTCTATAAAGCAAGGCACTTATTTAAAAAGCACTCTACAAAATAAAAAATACTGAGATATTTATATATGCAAGGAATGGCCTCTAAGAACATTGCTTGAATATAGGAGATCTTTGTGGTCCATGTTTTTCCGTAAAGCCAGTATACTAGCTTGCTTTCTGGTCTCAAAAACTAAACACTTTTCATTTACTTGCCCCAACACTTTAAGATATTTTTACCTTGCTGGTTCAGCTAGGATAGGGTTAAGCTTCCCCAGCAGGGAGAAGGGATCTCCAGGCGGGTTATTCATACCATGCTGATGTCAGGTCCGGGCGCGGGAGCGCGGGAACTTTTTCCTTTGTGGCTTTTGTCGCGGGAAGCATACGAGACAGGCTGATTGTGTTCACTGCAGTATTTCTCTATATATCTCTTGTCTTGTTCACCGTTACTATTGTTTATTGTTGTTATTAATGCTATTGTTGTTGTTCAGATTGTTATTTATTACACTGTTGTATTAAATTTCTCCTTATTTCAACCCCAGGGTTTGTGCCCTACTTGGTCCGAGGGTGGGGGAGGGACAACAGCAACATGGTCTGTGGTCCTGGCAGGGCTTAAACCACCACAGCCTTCCTTGGCAAACCAACGTGGGGCACAAGAAGGTTGAAATAAGACTCAAAAAGGGACAGACCCTGACCAGAGTGTGTTGGACCAATCTCCTGGGTGCAATTTTCTCTGTTTGTATTTGCATTCCTTGATAAGAAAATGTTTGCAATGCTGGCCAACTTGCTTGCGTGGTGGGGCTGGATTAATCCTTATATCCACTGTATGTTCCCAGTGCTGGTGTTTTTTGGCAGTGCAAAACACCTCAAGGGGCTTGTTTTGCTCTACTAGCTACTGACTGATTATAATGTGTTTGTATCGGTGTG